ACTTTGTGAAATCACAATTTTAAAGAAAAATCGAATAAATCTAATAAATCATAAAATTAGTATATAATATTTTCAGTTTTTAACTCTTAATTACTTCTATATTCACAAGGACGCTAAGGATGTCGGTCTTTAATAGCACCTCGTCAGTGTCGTGACGAATTTCTTATACAAAAATTGACACGTACGTGTGACTGCGTGTATTATAGTATGCGTGAGATATTGCTGTGTAATATAAAAAGACACGTCGATGTGTGGCTCGCGGCGCGACATCTAGATAATTCCGTCGGAGTTCCGTCGAGCTTTGTTTTAGGATCTCTTCAAGGTAACATATTTCTTATCGACGTGCCAAATACAACACCGAGGCTTTTCATTTTATTGTAAAATCATTATTAAAATAAAAGATCTTTTTCACTTTTCTCACGACGAGATTTTTTAATTACAAAATTTTCTTTTTCTTTTACTGTTTTGAAAATAAAGTATCCTTAAAAAATAAAAATCAGCTTCCCGCAAATATCTTTACTAATAAATACGGATATAATTACGAGTAAATAAGTACGTATTTTGTAAAGTTTTCGATTTTGTAACATTACATACTTTTATTACCTGTATTCTACTTGGTGCTGCCATCTACGGTATTTTAACCGAGGTATGATACACTTGCCGTATCACGTTGCCATAGTGACCATGGCTTGTTTGCATGTCGATGTGAATTTAAATCGCGGTTTCATAATCACGCTAATAAACATTCGCGGTCAATCGGCTTAAACGCATGTTTTTACAGTCCACGTCGGATAATTAGATTGCCGCGGCAATGAGTGACATCATGACAAATCTCGCGACTGAGAAGCAATTCGATTTCGACGATCTAGATCCGTCGTCGCTGGATAAACGTCCGGAGGACGAGCACGACATGGAGAAATCCACGAGTACTGTCGAGGAGATCCTGCAGCAAGTGCAACGCGAATTGTGCCTGATCAAGTTGTGTTGGCCGGATGTCTCGATAATGACGGAGGACCTCTACGTACAATCACTTCCGAATACCTACCGTTGTGTCAGTGACAAGGAGCGACTACTATTGTGGTACGCGGAAAACTTTCGACGGCAGTTCCATGCGAAGTACGTGAATCGCCGACCGTTGTTGTTAGCCTGCGAAAATGAATGTCGTGTACAAGTGGGTAAAATTCGATCTCGAAAAAGCTATGATCCTTGACTGATAATCACGAATTCTTGCTGTAAACTAGTGTAATAAATATCAGTATAAAAAAAAAAAGAAAGGACCTTGTCTTTTCTTCCAATTAAGTACTACACGAAAAATCTTATGTTCAACAAAATTATTTTCTCTTCTTTTTTTCAAATCATTATGGAAGTCTAATAAATCGTGTAATATCGGTTAAAGAAAAAGGCTATATTATATTCGTTAAAGGCTAATCTTGTAAAAGTAGCGTATTTTATATTTATATTCGTTAAAATTTGTAATAAAATTTAACTTTTTTATATTTGCAATTTGCGAATGTAGAAGATTATTACAAATATGCCTAGTGAAACGTAAAATCAGCTGATTACAAAGTCAGCTGTTTGTGATATCAGCTGATCACAAGATCAGCTGATGAAACTATTGCATAGTTAAAATTGTGAAGTCATTTAACATTTAAAAAAATTGTTCAAAATGTCATTAAGGTTCCTTTAGATTAATAATTCGAATCGACATTTATAGTAAAATTGTGTGTATAATTCTTATAATCTGTAAGAAGAAGCGATTAAGAAATTTGTATATATACTTATATCAAATAACATAGATTAAGGATCAGGATATATATATATATATAAATTATTATAGACGGTATAGAGATTGAGAGCAATGGAATTTTTTATCTTGACAATATTTAACTTAAGATTTCGCACGATAATTTGATTAAAAATATTCTTAAAAATACAAGGATTACTTTTTTAAGGATTAAAAAAAACAGACAAACTTTATTGATTTTGTATTTATTTCAATTTTTTTTACATTTTTATACAAAGATAAAACTAATTTTTACAAGACTTAAAAGATTAGAAATAAAATATGTACACTAAATATGTACTCGCAAATCCTTTATCGTTCAAATACAAAAATTTTTTTTTTGTTGTAATCTAATTTATATCATTAACATGATAAGAATATAATCTAATAATATGAAATATAATCGCAAAAAATATTACGCCGCGACGAGAACATTATTAGAATAAATCTTTTTCTATTTTCCTTATTATTATAGAAATTTGTATCTACAAGTATCAAACGAAGTACGCTGCCGTATCCGGAATTATATACATGGCGTGGATGTGTACAATTCATCAGTGATAACATAGAATATCAACCACTAGTCAAAGCTTTCATTATGGTAAGTAAATAAACTATGGAAAAGAATGATTTGAGATTATGTTTTTTGTGTATTTCATTTTTCAATGATATCGTCGCGCGTAATCCAAATAATCTTTTTATGTAATTAATCAAATATTAATTTAATATATTTGAATGTTTAATTTTTATTTAGAAATAATAAATTTCTAAATAAACCTAAATATAACGCTAGGCTAAGCATTAGAAAAATATGCATAAGAAAAAAAGAATTTTATGAGCATCGCGTTTGCTGTGCGATTTGTCAAATACATTATACGATATTTTCAAAAACGAGAAAAAAAATGAAAGTATTAATTACGATAAAAATAATGCATTCATACATCTTGGTCTACAACCTTGCTTTAAGAGGTTTTAAGTCATAAGTTGAAAGAGATTAAGAGACAATTTCTATCTTTAAACTGTTTTTGCGCAGTCTCTTTAGACTTTAACCGTTACTTAAGCGGATTGAGCAAAACTCAATTCTTACGACCTAAGAGCATAAGTTTTGTGAATTTATCGTTACTTACAGCTTATTTCCTTTTAAAGCAAGGTTGTGGACAAGACAATACTGAAAAATACTTAAAATTAATTTCAATGTAATCTAGATGACAACTCATCTAAACACTTTGGTAGAACAATTTCACTCGTATATTCAATTAATATACATATATACACATATAAAATCACAAAATTCTAACTATTCGGTAACTATTACTAAAATCGTATGATAAATATAACCAAACGAATTGATAAATACAACTAAATTACACAGTAGTAAATATTGAATAGTATGGCAAATATTAGTAAATTAATCTATCATAAAAAATTCGAATTTCTACTTATTTGATTTAATGAATATTCATTTTTCAATGATATCGTCGCGCGTAATCCAAATAATCTTTTTATGTAATCAATCAAATATTAATTGAATATATTTGAATGTTTAATTCTTATTTAGAAATAATAAATTTCTAAATAAACCTAAATATAACGCTAGGCTAAGCATTAGAAAAATATGCATAAGAAAAAAAGAATTTTATGAGCATCGCGTTTGCTGTGCGATTTGTCAAATACATTATACGATATTTTCAAAAACGAGAAAAAAAATGAAAGTATTAATTACGATAAAAATAATGCATTCATACATCTTGGTCTACAACCTTGCTTTAAGAGGTTTTAAGTCATAAGTTGAAAGAGATTAAGAGACAATTTCTATCTTTAAACTGTTTTTGCGCAGTCTCTTTAGACTTTAACCGTTACTTAAGCGGATTGAGCAAAACTCAATTCTTACGACCTAAGAGCATAAGTTTTGTGAATTTATCGTTACTTACAGCTTATTTCCTTTTAAAGCAAGGTTGTGGACAAGACAATACTGAAAAATACTTAAAATTAATTTCAATGTAATCTAGATGACAACTCATCTAAACACTTTGGTAGAACAATTTCACTCGTATATTCAATTAATATACATATTGACACATATAAAATCACAAAATTCTAACTATTCGGTAACTATTACTAAAATCGTATGATAAATATAACCAAACGAATTGATAAATACAACTAAATTACACAGTAGTAAATATTGAATAGTATGGCAAATATTAGTAAATTAATCTATCATAAAAAATTCGAATTTCTACTTATTTGATTTAATGAATATTCATTTTTCAATGATATCGTCGCGCGTAATCCAAATAATTTTTTTATGTAATAAATCAAATATTAATTTAATTAATATTTGAATCAATTAATATTTGTACACATTAATTAATATTAATATTTGAATGTTTAATTCTTATTTAGAAATAATAAATTTCTAAATAAACCTAAATATAACACTAGCCTAAGCATTAGAAAAATATGCATAAGAAAAAAAGAATTTTATGAGCATCGCGTTTGCTGTGCGATTTGTCAAATACATTATACGATATTTTCAAAAACGAGAAAAAAAAATGAAAGTATTAATTACGATAAAAATAATGCATTTATACATCTCTATTAATATATCAAGTCGTTTGGTCATAATTACTGTATGATTTAACAACAATTATTAGTTATTGTTAATTTGGTAACTATAGTCAGAAAGACTGTTGGCAATTATATAGATGATTTCATTTGCCTTCTATACAATTATATCTGAGCTTCGGTCATATAGACTTGATTATACCGAAAGCTCGACTAAATTTTATATGCTAGAAATGACCGGCAGTCCTGACTATGTTTAGATGCTTAATTGCTCCAAATAATCTAATAACTATTGTAAAATTAATCATTAAATCTTTTTACATTTTGACAATAATTACATATTTACAAATAATTACAAATAATTATAAAATAAATAGTCATTAATATTAAATAAATATTAAATGATTTGGTTTTAAGTATTGGAGCAACTAAACGATAATTTTACTTTTTTATATACATATTAATTATTACTATCAGTCCCTTAATTATTATGTTTGGTAATACTTACTAAATATTGTGCGCCATCAAAATTTAGTAACTATTACCAAACTTTTGTCTCAGTGTATTTAATGAGAAATGTATATATACATTATTTATATACATTATATATATATATATTTACAAATATGTATTAGATATATTGTTAAAGCTATCTTACACCATTAGGTCTGTGTGGTTCCTTCTTGGATTTTTGAAGAATCCAGTCTCGTAAACGGGTCGATATTTGTTGAATATGACCCACTTGTTTCATTGTACTTATGGGCGAACCGTAATCATGTAACCATTGTAATAATTTATCACAATATGTGACCATTTCCGAGCATCCCGGTGGCAAGGTATCAGGATAATTTTTTCTTGCGGTTTCACTATCCATGTCATCATCATTGTTATTGTTATTAACGACATCAAATATTACTCCTTCGCTGTCCGAAGATGATATGTATGGATGATGAAGACTGTCTATTATACTATTAAGGCTTCTACCTGTTTTAGTTGTTGTTCTTGGTTGAGCGGTTGCGATGTTTGTGACGTTTGCGCCGTTTCCGTTATTTCCATTGTTTGCGTTGTTTGCGTCGTCTGCAACGTCTGCATCGTTTGCGACGATTCCGTCGTTTGTGACGATTACTTCGTTTGCGTCGATTGGGTCGTTTGTGACGATTCTCATTTCTATATTATTTGCGGCCTCTGCGTTAACTGTGAAGTCTGCGACGTTTGCGACCTTTACGAGGTTTACGGCTGGACTGCGACAATCACGACTAGTTGACGGCATAGATATGTCGTAGTTCAGTTGAGCCATACTCCTGGCCGATCTGTCCATACTTGGTGACTGATTACTTTGTGTTCTCGATGTGCTCGGGATGTTCATGGTTGACAAGAGAGTATGACTTGAGGTATTATGTTTTCTTTTATTACCGTTAACTAATGTGTTATTAGTTTGTTGTTGCAGCTGTTGTTGTAGTTGCTGTTGCTGTTGTAGCATATTCAACGCTAATGACGTACCATTGGTCCTAGCCAGAGTTTCAATAAAATTCGAGTATACTCCAGAAAGAGCATAATATTCCGAACTCTTCGCAATAGTGGATAATATGGCTGCTGCCACATTTGACTTGGTCGTATCAGGTAAATTGGCATGGTATAAATACGAATTATATATGTTCGTCGCGTCATTGACGTTGATCATCGGTTGACGACCCGATGTTGATGGCATGTTACTCACCATCGTACTACAGGAAGCAGAAGTGTTCTCTATTTTTATTCTTTTTTGCGACGGTCCAGCTTCAAATTCGTCAGTAACTCTCTCGGTAGCTGAAGATGTCGATGGCATTCCCAATATCGATGGCGAAGTTGTAGGTGTTGATCTCGATGATGATCCACCGACTGCACTATTGTTGCTATTATCAGAACTAGAAGTAGTTAGAATTTGTTCGTAAGCCATGGATGTTCCTGGCATTGATGCTCCCGATGCTCTCATGTTATTTAATTGCGAGAGTAATTTTTGCTCAGACTTGCACCACCCTCTAAGGGTGGATTCAGGTACACCGATGTCACGTGCCACTGCTGCCTTTGATTCACCATTGTGAACTCTGTTAATAGCATCAATTTTATCTTGGGGTGTAGTATTCTTTGATGATGATCGCCTCCCCGCCGTCTGTCGGGATTCGTTTCGCGACATTGTATTTCTCGATGTACTCGGCCTGGGTTCGTTGACGACGTTCAAATTATTTTCGTATCTCGCAAATGACAATAAATTTTGACGATAATGACCGATGTTAGGCCGACGTGGTGGTCTACGAACTATGCGATCCGTAGATCCCCCCGTATCTGGGGAAAGATCTACGGCGGATTCCTGTTGATCCAGCTTGATTTTCTTCCTAGTCACACTTGAAGATTTGACACTTTGTTCGCTGATTGTCCGATCTTTTCTTTCGATTCAACGATTCGCGATTATTTTCAAAGATTATTTCACTGACTCGCGACTGATATTTAAAATCGAGAATAAGTTTTTAAATTATATAATGTTCGCTCGTTTCGGCACACGCACAAAAGTTTCTCACCGGACGATAAACGCGATGATGACTGGAACGCGGAGAACTACTTAGAACGGGACGATCCGTACGCCGCGCTGCCGGTACAGCGTGTGGCGCCGATTCGTATCTCGCACAGTAGTAAATAATACTGTGTAAACGCGGTTACGCCGTCGCAGCCGGTCGGGGGAGTAGTAGTACTCGTTCCTCCTCCGTGGTGGAATAGCACATGCGCTCACAGAGAGTAATAAAGAACTTTTTTATGAATGAAACAAGTCGGTCGGTCGGTCGGTCGGGCGGCTACAACCACCACCTCTTCTCTCTCTCTTTCTCGCTTCTTCCCCTTCCTACACACTGCTGCCCTCGAAGCAAGGCACTCTGCCGATGCTCTACACCTTGCCGCTTCACGTATCGCTCTCTCTCTCTCTCTCTCTCTCTCTCTTCCTCTGGTCCTCTCTCTCTCTCTCTCGTTGACGGCGCTAGCGCGAGTAAAACGGAGAGTAGGTGCTCCCCGGTATACCTCACCGCTCTCCTCCGTACTTGCGACTGCAACAGCCAATCCGAAGTGCGCGCGGGAAACGATATTATTGCTGTACCACGAGGAATAGCGTGGTTGGGGTGGTAGTCGGAGCGTGAGCGAGATAGACGAATCGAGTGAAATCGAGACGGCGATAGGCACACGTTCCGGCACTCCGAAGAACGCGCACTCGAAGACCGGCTTCCAGAGTCTGAGATCAGTTTTCACCACTTTTTTTTCCAGTCCAAATTCCCGAACGTAGATCGCGAATCGCGAATCGCGAATCGCGAATAATACTACCGTAAGATACGGCGTTTGTCTCTAGACAAGAACGTTGCGCCTAGTCTTTACGTTCTCTCGCGGTTATATCACGCTTTTTGGTCGAAAGTGACCAACGCGGTGCTCGCGAACGCGAATGACACTCCGAAAGATGCGCGTTCGTTTTCGCGTAGCGGCGGCTGGTTCGCTTTCGTTTCTTTTGCGATACGACGAGCGGTATGAGACGACTCTCTCTAAACTCTTACAAAGGCTCACCAGAGATACTTCGTACTACCGTATCGTCCGAGTACTCGACGTGTCAAGCGCGCCGACTACAATAGAACTGACTCTGCTGCGGTCGACTTCGATGGTCAGTTGAACTGCCCCACCACCTGCGCGGTACACGTCAACTTATATGCGCGTCCCCTCCATTCCGTCGTAACGCCGGTTCATCCCCCCCTCGCGCTTCTACCCTATCACTCTTCTTAGGCCAAGCGTTCCACAGCGAATTTATCTGCGAATTTTCCTACTTCCTGTGCCCTTCGTCCCAGTTTCCTTTTTTACTCCTCTGTCATTCGACTATCGAGAGCCAATCGCAGGGTAGCACTTAACACGTAGACCTCCTAGAAAGTGTGCAGCGTGGTGGTAAATAAATTTGGAAATAAATTCGGAGAGTCTTGGAAGAATCAGCTAAGAATTTCAACAAAAGAAACAACGATTTTTCCCAACTCAACTCTTGTATCCCTTTTTGTTATTAACAATTTATTTATTAATCGTTTAAGCAGAAAATAATTCAAGCCTCTGACTCCGGATATATTCCCCGCGATCACATTTACATAATATTTAGATAGGTGGATCAATCGAATGTCAAATTTAAATAATATTTTCAAATCCGTCGGAGCGATTTCGCGAACCACGTGTTGTAACAAAGAAAGAAATGCGTATTCCATCTAGTACGAAACGAACGTACGCGTCTCGTGCTTTTGCATAAGAAAATTTCGTAATATTTATAACATTTGCCGAGCATTTCCCGCCATTTCCTTTTGTGCGAAATATGAGAGAGAGAGAGAGGGTCAGAGGATGTTCCACCTCCACCAGCAATCCCCGAGGGAAGATAGGATTTACGATTTGAGCAGCCCAAAATCCTGCAAGGGATCGACGCGAAGAGAGACCAAAATTTGCTGCCACACGGGTAGCGCGGTAAAGGAAGAAGCGGAGCAACGGAAGGGTACCGTGGCGAAGCGGGGCGGGGCGGGGCGAAGCGAAGCGAAGCGGGACGAAACGAGGCGAAGTAAGACGAAGAGAGGAAGAGGTATGGTAAGGAGACTCACTCTCTGATAATTCGGGTAAATATATCGCGAATAACCGTCGCGCTCGCACGAACGCGAATAAGCGACAAGTGTGTACCTGTACGCGTCCCGATATCCCGCGGCCTCGTCGGCGATACACGCGCGAGGACCGACCGCATTTCGTCACGTATACCGGCTCGTTTTTCGCGCGGCCGTAGCACGGAGGAAGACAGCGAGAGCGAAAGAAAGAGAAAGAGAGAGAAAGAGAGAGGCGCGTCCTACTCTCGATAATTATGTCGATAATTCTGTTTCCGCGCAGGTTTAGGATTTCAGAGCTCCAACTTTGTTAAAATCTCGGATGAAAGCGTATGGTGACAAGAGTTGAGCATGACTGCTCTGCGTGCGTCTTTTTCAGTTATCCTTCAGATTTATTGTTTTTGTTAATATTATAACGTGGTATTTTATTACGTGTAAGCAGAGATTCCTTGTTTGAAAATGGTACGTATGTTAATATATTTTAATTTGTTCTTGATAAAAATAAAACACATAAAGACAAATTTTTTATCTCTATTAGAAATGGCTTTATTAATGTGTCTTCAACTTGTGTGCCTGTTCACATTTCACTCATTTTAATATTATATATAGTTACTAAAATAGATAATAAATGTTAGCAAATTGTCTAAGTTAATAAATCGCATTACTTTAATTGTACTCATTATTTCAATGTACATTCACAACACAATGTTCTGACACATGGAAAAAAAAGATCTTAAATTTAATATCTTGCAGTATTACTGGACTCATATAAATTTCTTACATTTTTCGAAAAAATATTTGCTATGCTTCAATAGTTGAAAAATTAAACATACTTAGCGTCACATACATTAATAATTTAACTTAATTAACAAGTATTCTTCTTCTTTATTTTAGTTCTTTTACTTAATTTTCCTTATTTAAATACAAAGATATATTAATAAGAAACAGACGTATAATAATAACAGCCAGTTACGCATGTATATAAGTATGTAACATAAAAAATTTGGAGCGACAAAAAAACAACAGCGAAAATTCACGAGCTTATATAGTCTGAGATAAGCAAGGTGTACGAATGGGGCAAGGAATTATCGCAAATAATCTTAGATACGATCGATTTAGAGTTCACTAAAGCTAACAGAATTGTAATACCAGGCGAGATTATAATTAGTTAAATCACGTTAAAGCATCTGTTGGATACTATTGGAACACGGATGGATAACTTTCAAACCAAATTGCGGATGTACACGAGATCGATGATTTCTCCCGTGAAATAACAGTGTAATAAGACGTTCGGGAAACAATAAGATCTTTTCGGGAGGAAGAGACAGATGAAATTAATATGCTTGATAAATTCATGGTGAACTTATGTGAGTCTATGCGAATAGCATCTTGATTGGCTGTAACAACGACTTGGTGACCTCGACTCGACTGGTATTCGAAATTAATTCGGTGCGCAGAGGAAATAATTTCCTCTTTTCAGCGACGGCCGCGAACGCCGCGCGTCGTATCTCTCAGCCCGCGTATATCGCGGAGAGCAGCTGACCTCAGTCCCGGGCGTGAAATACGCGTGGCGGTTATGGCGTTGCTAAGAGCGCGACGGCAACAAAAATATGATTTCGCGGATAAGGCGCGTTGGCTGTCGGCGTGGCTCGGCTTCGATCTACGATTAACGAATCGCGGGTCAACGTTGCGTCGCGAGAGGCACGAGGAAGCGTTCGCGACGGGCAGGGAGGAGAACCGATGGGCGGAAGGGGGGATGAGGGAGGAGGGGAGGGAGGGAGGGAGCGTGATGAGGGCGATGGGCAACAAGGCGACGACGACGCCGAGGAAAATCGATCGATGGCGTCCTGGTGTTATAGGACGACGAAGGCGCGCACACACACACATACATATACACATACATACACACTCGTGCACGCACACTTTACACCGCTGTCGCGGGTAGACGCGAGCAGACTGGGTCCGCGCGTTCCACGACTCTCCCGTAGAACGCGAGTCGGGTAAAACCCGTACAATTAATTTTCACCTGCTTCCCTCGAAGCGTATACGATGAAACGCAGAAGCGAGGCGAAGCGGTGTCGGGTCTCGCTCATCTTCTTCGTCGTCGTCGTCGTCGTCGTCGTCGTCGTCCGGTTCGCTTGCCTTTCGCGGAAGGATGTACACACGCGAAAGCGTGAGCGCGAAAACGCGTCTCGGACTCGCGTGTGTACGATGTACGTGCAAGAGCGTGCCACGTACGTGTATGCATGCGCGCACGTGTGCGTATCCACACGGCCACGCCGGGCTATTTGCGCGGCATGTGTGCCGTCGCGTCGCGTCGCGTCGCATCGCGTCGCGTCGCGGCCTGAGTTAACGGTCGCTCGCTATCGTTCCTTCGAGGCGACGGTGCGCTGCCGTTCCCGCTGGCCGTACGATAATATCGATAAACGACTCTCTTGCTCTTTTGCCCTGGCCATGGCGTCTCATCGTCGCCGATGCCTCGTTTCACTTCGTTCTGTTCCGTTCCGTTCGGTTTGCCAAAAGTACGAAGCGTCCCGTCCCTTAATGATGATGAATGTAATTATTAATCGGAGAAGTTTACGATTAAATGGTACAATTTAATGATATGTTCATTGTCGATTCGCCGATAAGAATCTTTGAAATTCTC